CAAAATGGTTGTAAAGGCGGTTGCAATCATTTTTATATGATGCAAAGGTGGTAGCAACCATCATCAAAAGTTGCAGCCAGTATCCTTATAATATATAAAAACATGAAAGATGCTTTATATTGCTAGTAATATTGATTAATTTGTATTAAAATAAAGAAAATAATGGGAAAAAATGGCTCTATAAGTTCAATAACAAATAATAGTAATTAAATGGGTTGTAAGGAATCAAAAGTTGGGACTATTTCAAAAATTAATATGAAGTGACATTGTTCTAAATCAAGTTTTTGTATTATAAAAATAAGTATTATGATAAATATGTAGTATATTTCAATAATTACTATCATGACTATATATCTATAAACCATAATGGTTTTATGGTTTATGGCTTTTATGGCTTTTACAACTTTAGGATGTTGTGCCAAGTTCATTTATGGCTCATACCATAATGCCATAATCCAGAAACAATAGTATGAATGACTATTTTGTGACAGGGTAGGTATGGCCAACAGGGATAAATAACACATAGTTAAGATTTGCAGATTGGGTACATTCTCATAAAAGTATTTTCCCTTGCCATTTAACTAAAAAAAGGGAGGATAATGAATATTTAAATGTGAATATGAAGCATTCAGGAAATTTCCAAGTTCATTCAAGTCAAAAAACTTGTTTGTTCATTCTGCCCTCCCAAAGTAAGTGTGGAGGCTTGTTTGCAGTTTAGGATTGATGAATTTGGCCAGGAAGTATAATTTAATAATTGAGAAACTAACTTTCTTTTGAGAGATAGAATTGAAGTGTGTAATTTTTTAAAATTCAACATTGTATGTTAATCATCCTAAATTTGTTAAATGACCCTAGAACACTTTAAATAGCACCCTTGAAATTATAAGCTTAATTAAATGTTTAAAGAAAGATTTGGGGAATGCTGCAACAAAACCAGACAAAGTGAACATTGGAATTTCAGGAATCAATGGTGTTTGTTTAACATCATAATTGTATTAATTGTATTACAATGTAATGTGGTCATAATATTCACCTAGACAAAGATAGTTAATATGAAACTCATTTACATCAGAAACAGTGCAATTAGAAGAAAGAACAAGGGGTAATGCATCTGCCATTATTCACATGACATTTCACACAGTAGGAGTCATAAAAACGGTAACATTTTAATTAACATCAATAAAATCCGAATTTACATAATATTTATTGATTTTCATTATTTTTAACATAATAATTCATTTAACATGTGTATTCATATTCATAATAGTAAGTTATAAATCTAATTACCAATTGCAGAATTATCTATTTTTTCTCCTGCTCATTAAATGACCAATTATATGAAGATCTATTAATTATTAGTTCTTTAAGGTTTTGTCTCAAAGATCAGTGTATAAAATTCATGTGCACAACCCCCTTAAACTGTGCAGACTCCACAAAAATTTTAAATATAGTGCACAAATCCAAAGAGAAATTTTTGCACTATTACATTTTTTTATATATATAATGCATAAAAAAATCAAAAAACTAAACTACATGCACAATTTTTAAACAACTTTGCACAAATCCTCAAAAAATTTTGTCAACATGCACAAAAATTGATCGGCAAATTTTATACACTGTCAAAGATATTGATTTAAAGTCCTTGTTATATATGTTGTCCATGTAATTGTACATCCAAATTTTATATTCAAGTTGGATAAAATTAAATTGACGAATGCATTCACATTGAATTTCTCCATCCTATAAATATCAAGAATTAATTTCATTAAATACTGGGATATAATAAAACCAAACTATTATTTAAACTTCATTATTACCTTACTATAGAATGCAATAAATAGTTCTGCTTTTAAGTTTTTATATATATATAAGCCTAAAATTATTTTTTCACTTGTAATTTTAACATCAACAGCATTATTTCTTTCTTTCTCATTGACTATTTTTTCCACAGTTGATTGGTTTTTACTTTCAAACCATGAAATCGTTTTCAATGACATTAACTATACATGAAGTCGAAACTATTTCAACTGTTTGCAGATCTGATCGAAATAGGGTCAAAATAAGGTCGAAACTGATTTTTACTATGTAGTTGCCTCAAGTTGAAACATTTTGACTTTGGGGTTTTAATTTCGACTTCATGTATAACATTAACATTGTAATAACCAATTTGAATCTATATATATGAATGATTCTTTCAGTCCTAAGAAAACAATATTAGATAAAACTTAATGTTTACATACTTGTCATTCTTTGTCACACTGGTACCCGATTCAATTTCTGATAAGTAAATAGGACATATATAATTTCCATCCTCAATATATACAAATCCATCTGGATTTGGTTCATATTTATACTTTTCCTCTGTTTTATGATAAAATAAAAAATAGTTCCCCTTATCAACCTTCCATGAACGTTCCCTAAAACAAAGAATAATTTAAGTTATACATAAAATATTTATAATTTCAAACAAAACAACTATTATAGACAACCTTTGGAAATTTTCCATGCAATCAAGAGGTCCATACATAAATGAATAAAACCTAGATGTATTCTGTTTCATAGTTCGAAATGTATCATCAGTCACGTTTAAATACAATAAACATTCTGAAACAGTCACGTCATGAACAGTATCATTATTTCTTATAATGAAATATTGGTTGTAAAGGTTATTTATATGAACGTTTTTATGGCTCTTCAAGAAATCAATTGTTGTTTCTATTTGAAGAACCTAAGTTTTGATAAAAATTATTAAACTTAAGCTTTAACATAAAGTGATAATGAAATTACATTACATACATGACTTGGATATTTAACAATTCTCTTCTTTGTTAATTCCTCCCAAAAAATTTGCACATGTATTGGCACAATATTATTCATATGATCTAGTACATCACCTTCTGATCTAGTTTTTATTTTTAATGGTGATATCACTTGGCCACTGGCATCTATATTGTTCACGATTTTATTGATTTCAAGGTCCTCCAAATTAAATAAGTAAGTTTCTATTTTCTTATTCCCAAGTCTAATTGAAAAATGCTCATCTATGGCGTCATTGAAAGTTGCTTTATAATTATTAAATAAAGAAATTTATTAGCTATCTAAATATATACCAATAAAAAAAAACAAGTTTTACTCCAATTTTATTTTCTATGTTTAAGCATCACTATTATTCAGGAAAAAGAAAGATCTAATGTTTGCTTTATTGAATCACAAGAATCAAACCTTTGTTTTCATAATAATCTGATAGAAGCCGAAAAGGTTCGTTAGGTTTCAATGGACGTTTAACTGGTTTCTGTACTCCCCTGAGAATATTCAATAATGGTTTAACGCAAATTCTTGAATGTAGCTCGGTAGACTGATCAAAAAAATAAAAAAATAAATGTTCAAGTTCATTAAAAACAAAAGTAATTAATCTTGTCTTTTAGAACATAATTTACTTAATAATACATAAAACATACATCTGTTGAAGTAATTTGTTCATTGTTAATATTTGTAGTGATGTCATCTAAAGTTTTTGATTTTCATGCAACTTTATTTCATTCAACTCTATGTTTTTGAGGAAAAAAAATAATAATATGAAATACAAAGAAAAGAAGATTCATTTTAACAAATTAGAATAGTGGGTGGCAGTGAGTGGTGTACATAATCACCATTCATTTTAAAAAATAATAACTAGAGTGACGACGAGTTGCAACCACCATCGCCATTCTTTTTAAATAAATAACACTTACTCGTATCGTTCTTTGTTAGCTTCTTTGCTTCTTTTTTTTGAATATTTTTTTGATGACATGTTTTTAAAAGAATAAAAAGAAGTTTGTGATTTGATCAACACGCGCACATTAATTATTTATCCTACGCAGTGAGTCTCGGTATAGCGGATTTGGGGGTTTAACGGATAAATTTTCAAATCCAAATTTTTCTATCTCGGTTTAATGGATTTAACGGATTTTTCATATAAATTCGGTTTACCAGATATTTTTTAAAAATTCATATTAATATTAATATATGTCACTTATAATAAATTTTTCTCGATATTACGGAATAACGATGATCTTTATTATTCTGGGCTAATATGAGTAATGACGCGCATTATTAAATATTAATATTAAAGAATGCAAAATAATTAGAAATAAATTGTAATAATCAGCAATACATCCACAATTTAATCTAACATATTTCTAGCTATTTCTTGG